TGATAGCAAATTTGGGAACACCTTCAAAAGACAAAATATAGTCTGAAGCTAACATGGACCACAGCCCACCTCCCTCCATGTGCTTTCTAATAATGACTCCCAAACCCTGACCCCACAACAACAATCAATTATAAAGGCAAAGAAAAGCATTTCTGCCCTATAAACTGAAATTTTATCAAAGTGGGCTGCCGTTAAATGCTCATAAGACAGTGGAACAACTTTTCGTGGGTCTAAATGCTTTGCTGCCTGCCTAAATCTAGTGTATCTATGGGAAGTGGATTCAGTCTTTGTTAGAAAATCAGAATGGAAGAGGTGTGTGAAACAACCTAGCACCAATTTATTGAAGTCTTTCAGAAAGATTTTCTTAGATGAATCTTTAACAAGATCAAAGAAAAAAGGACACAAACAGGAAAATGAAAGATACTAGTTAAGGTGACTTAATAGAAAGCATTACCTAAGAGCAAACAACAAGCTGATAACAGACAAAGAATTGACTCCAGAGAAATAACAGAAGATAGCTTGAATGTGGTAATGTTACTTCCGATTAGTGTTTTATTTGCCTGTAAAAGATTATTCTCCAAATTTTTACTAAAATAATCATATGCCTCATGCTGACAATCCCTGCCTGAGACATGTGGTGCCATCCCAGATACCATATTTATATATATTTATATAAAACACACTAATAAATTAGAGAGAGTCCAAAAGTATATTGAAAATTATAACAAGCCCAGCCGAAACCGGTTTGGCTCAGTGGATAGAGTGTCAGCCTGCGGACTGAACGGTTCCAGGTTCGATTCCGGTCAAGGGCATGTACTTTGGTTGCGGGCACAACCCTGGTGGAGGCAGGAGGCAGCTGATCGATGTTTGTCTCTCATCAATGTTTCTAACTCGCTATCCCTCTCTCTTCCTCTCTGTAAAAAATCAATAAAATTTATTTTTTTAAAAAGAAAAAGAAAATTATAACAAGCCCAGAAAGACATGGAGAAAATTATGAGAGACATGAGAGCGGTTGTAACATATCTGAGAAGCTGTTGTGGGAAAAGTCCTGGATTAGGCTATAGCAGACTTCCCAGCTCTGTTACCAGCTAGGCAAGTCACCCTTTGCTAGCAAATAATTTCTCCACAAAGAGGTCAAATCTGAGGTCAACCTAAATGATCTTAAGTCCCTTTAAGTTGTAGAATGTTATCATTTTTAAAGTCATGTTTATTATAGTCAACACCTATGCTTTGCTGAACTGAATCATTCCATATAGATACAAGAAGAAGATATAGGTAAAAATTAGACTACAAAAGAAATCTAGCTCAAAATTAGAGCTTTCAAAAACTAAAATTGTGCAATAATGGAACCAGTTGTTTCAAAAAACAGTGATATCATTTTTTATGGAAATATACAGGCATGTGCTAAAAGCTGTGAACTCTACGACTGCCAGTCTCTTCCAAACCTAAGATCCCATAATTCTTCATGTCCAATTTACCAAATACCTTTCCTCAAGATTACCATTTCTCACTGATGTAAATCACTTGTGCCAGGATTTCATACCTTTGTTGTAACTAGTCCATCTCTACGTTAAGTAGCTATTGTGCTTTCCCAGCTTCATGGACATGGTTCCTGGCTCCTGTTGACACAGGATGCTCTCCCTTTTGGTTATCCTCAACATTCTTATTTGGTGCAGGTCTTGGGGAAACTTCTTGAAATTGCTTTAAAGGCTACCTACAACCTTATAATACCAGTGATGTTTCCATGATATGGATACATGGGTAATATTATCAGCTCTCTTACCAGGTGCCAAGCATGTGCTATGCAATACCTCATTGAATCCTCTCCATAACCCTATGAGGAATGTGTTATCATATTCGCTTTACAAATAAGGAAACTCAAGACTCCGGAGAGTAAGTTCCTTGCCCAAGGTAACTGAGCTAATAAGAGCCAGAAGCATCTGGACTTGAACCCTGGTCTAGCTAATGCCTCTAAAAACTCTCTTCTCAACTACCATGCTCTACCGTAGTGGTTTGCAAAGTGTGGCCCCTGGACCAGCAGCCTCAGCATCAGCTGGGAACTTGCTAAAAATGCAAAGTAGCACAACTACTGAGTGAGGAACTCTGAGGGTGGGCCTCAGCAATCGTTTCTTAACAAATCCTCCATGTAATTCTGATGCTTGAGAACTACCTGGATTTGGGAACTACTGCTCTACTGACCTGAACATTTGCCTATAAGGCTATCCTTCTACTCATTTAACCACATTTTTTAATATTTTAATTTGAAAGTGTGTGGTACCTTCTTAACCTTTCTAAGGGGGAAAAAGAGAAATCTTAGATATAGTAACATCAGGTTTCCTGTCCCTTCCCTGAAATAGGAGGGCTGATCCTTTGCCATGCTTCGTAAGGGGAGAAGAGAGCTGCTGCTTTAACATGTAAATAAAGGGGAAACAAGGAGAGAGAAAAACGCTTTTTGCAGTACAGCTAGGTTGTTGTGGTTAGACATAATAAGTGAATTGACCAGGAAGATTCTGACGTTCCCCTAGAGTCTTCAGACAATAAATAACATTGTCTACTTAAAATAGTGAAAATAAAACTCCTTCCTGCATGTACACATTTTTTTAGAAAAAGAATATATATATCAACTGCAAGAGTGTTTCAAAGGCAGCATAATCAGTGGCAGCTATCATCAGCTCTCTTCAGTTTAAAAAATAAAAATCCCTTTAGCATTGCAGCTCATGCTGCCTTGAATGTGCCCTTGATCTTTTTCAAGCTTATCTTTAGCCCATAGCACCGTGCAACTCTGCAAATCAGTCCATAATCTCTTTACTGTCTCCCTGCACGTGCAGTTTTAAAGCTCAGTCATCAGCATATAAACCATCCTTTACTTCAAGGTCTCTGGAGATACGTGTCTCCGATCATGTACAAGGACTTTCATAAGGTCACAGCAGGGGTGGTAGTGAGGGGGTGAGGAGGGGTGGCAATTATGAGTGCTATGTAAATCCTCTGTAGAACAGGATGATTTCTCCGCAGGTGCAGGCTTACCTGAGAAAGATAATGAGTGCCTTTGAGTTCTACAGAAATGAAGTAGAACAGGAATTGTGTTCCTTCACACTTGCTTGAGCATAGGGGACCTCATTCACCCTGCTAAAAGAGTTCCTGGACCGGAATAATGCATGGTTCATTGTATTATCCAAGATTGCTCTTGGATGTCTGGATCTGAAGTTAGTTCTTTGTTATATCCCCTTTGTCTTCCCTCCTCCCAGAAAGAATTGTATGGAGGCAGTGAACTAATGGGTAACAGTCAGCATATCTTCTAATAAGACAGTGGAAATACGGACCTCACCACCCAATCTCCTCCAAGTCCCTCCCCAGTGTGGCCTATTCTCATCTACCAGCACTCAGGAACGCAGGAAGCCAGAGCTCTGGGACAGGCCAGCATAATAGATCCAAGGAGTTCTCTAAAGACTATCTTCTATCAGTGAAACTCCTATTTCAACATTATGTCCCTTAACTTTAAAGAGAAAACCAGAGAAGATTAAAAAAAAAAAAAAAAAAAAAAAAAAAAAACACTTCAAATAATAGACCCTGAACATAATGATAATTCAACATGCAAAAAAGGATAAGCCGCCTAAACCAGTTTGGCTCAGTGGTAAGGGCGTCAGTCTGTGGACTGAAAGGTCCCAGGTTCGTTTCCAGTCAAGGGCATGTACATTGGTTGTGGGCACACCCCCAGTAGGGGGTGTGCAATAGGCAGCTGGTCGATGTTTCTCTCTCATTGACGTTTCTAGCTCTCTATCTCTTTCCCTTCCTCTCTGTAAAAACTCAATTATATATATATATATATATATATATATATATATATATATATATATATATATATTTAAAAATAAATAAATAAGTAAATAAATAAATAATTTTTAAAAAATTTAAAAAAAGGATAAGCCACACTAACTTTAAAATTACTTTAAAGACTACATTTAACCTTATAATAATACCAATACAGCTATCAAATTAAAGTGCAAGCTATCAAAAACCATCCTCTCCTTTCTTAATTCACTCATTTATTTATTCAATATTAATAGACCAAAATATATGCTAGATGGTATCTAAAAAATACCAACCTGCTCCTCATTTCCTGCTCAAATAGCCAAGCATGAGGAAATGGACTCAGAGCGAAAAGAACATATTTTGACTGGCAAGAGTAAAGACACTAAGTGGTTCAATCAATGGAGAAGCCTCTGAAGACGCAACAGTGAGCAATGCTACATCCTGAATCATGGGCTCACGCTGCTATCTGTCTGAAGGCAGTCATCAACACCTCTCGAGATCCTTCCCAGCCGGGGTTGCAATTGCATTCCTGAAAAATGGTTGTATAAGAACTGACCTCTGCCCAATGTCTCTCTAACTCAGTGTTTCCCAACCTTCTCTCATGATGAGAATCACCTGGTGGAGTTGTTAAAACACAGATTCCCGGATCCCAACTAAGAAGTGCTAAACTAGAATTTTTGGGAACATATAGGTAAAATTGTATACTTAACTAGTGCTCTAAGACATGTTTTATATACAGAGCACTAAGTTAGGTATGCAATTTTATCTATATGTTCCCAAAAATTCTAGTTTAGCAATTCTTAGTTGGGATCCGGGAATCTGTGTTTTAACAACTCCACCAGGTGATTCTCATCATGAGAGAAGGTTGGGAAACACTGCTCTAACTGAGATCAAAAGATCACTAAGTTTCCATTTAAAAATAGACCAATATAGTCAGTTGTAAGAGTAAAAATGAACATTTAGTTGCTTTATCCACTGTACTGGGTATTTTGTATACAAAAATTTCACTCATGATCTTATGGAAGTCATTCCCAACTTTTGTAATATAATGGATTATATCCAGAGGTAGTGAGTTTAATTTTAGGTTTTCATGTGGATGCTTAATACTGTTTTATATGCATATATATGTATATATATATATATAGACAACTAAACATGAAGTACTGTTTAATGATCAAAGTACGACTTACCCTTGCCATATCCACCAAGAAGTTCTCAAATAATTTCCAAATGTGGTTACTTGTGTAAATCTCTTTCATTTCCACTTCAGTGTCAACGTAACAGTGATTAACAAAATTCACATATGCAATTTTAACCTGTGAAAGTTTCAAATACAAAAGGACGTGAGTTTTCTTCATTGTTCCTTTTCAAATATCAATTATGAAAATTTAAATAAAATCTGTGTTAGTTCCCATAATACCTTATGGCAAGTTTTGTGACTTCCCAGAAAGCAATCCCATCTCCTTCCTTTTACTAAAACACACCATCCCCTGAGCCAGGGTAAACACGTGACCTTGTATTCCATTCTTTTGGGCCCAGAGGTCTTAAACCAAGTCTATCTATTTGAGACACTAAGAATCAAAACTGCACCCTTTCCTTCTCCCCTCTTTTTCTCCTCCTCCCTCTCCTTTCCCCTCCCCTGCTTCTCTGACTCTGCTATATTCTTTCCCTCCCTCTCCCTCCCCTGCTCCACCCCTGTACTTCATTGCTAAAGTAGGACAAGGTAAAACTGAACTCCAAGAAGCCATCTTCTCTAGGCATGTGGAGGAAAATTATGCTCAGAAGAGAATAGGGCAAAACCACAAAGAAAAAGGGAACAAGAGATGGAGAGAATGCTGACATTGTCCAAACCTCTTGATCCTTCTGAACAACTATCCTTCCAATTCCCAACTACTGATGTCAACAAAATCCCTGTATTTTTAAAAATTTAAACTAGTTGAGGTTAGGTTTCTGTCACTTGCAACCAAGAGAGTTCTAGTAAAATGCTTAAATGTGTGGACTACATAATACTTTATCATCATTCAAAAATATTGAAATTACTATTTCTGAGAAGAAACAGGTTCACAGTTTACCAAAAAAAAAGTATTATTTTAAGATATAGTAAAATTCCTTTCCAGATTTAGCAAAACTCCTCATAAAGGAATAGGATGAGTCTTGCCAACTTGTACCATTTTTAAAATGTGTAGGGCAGTAGTTTTTTTGTTTTCAATTTTCTTTTCTTTATTTTTATTGAAAATAGGAAGACTGTTACAAATATCCCCAGAAATGTGTATATGTGTGTGTATAATGTGTGTGTGTGTGTGTGTGTGTGTGTGTGTGTTATATTCATACACACACTCACAAATATATGAAATCATGTAAGCAATTTCAGGGGATTCCTGGAATCCAAGTTAGAACCACAAGTGATACAGGGTCAGCATTCATGTCCTCAGTGCTTATTCCTATTTGACCAAGGTCCAAGACACACTTTCAGTGACAGGGTTCCTGTGCAAGGTCTGACCACAGGGTAGGGTGACATCAGAGCCATTTGATATATTATCATAATCACCTTGACAGCAGCTAATATGTACCCATTGTTTGCTGCCTGTCCAACACCTTCAGCATTTAGTATATAATGTCTTACTTGATTCCATCCTCCAACAATCCTATCTGATCCGTACTATAATTATGTCACTTTAAACTGTGGAAATTGGAGATTAGAAAGGTTAATAACCTATTGGAGCCAGGCAAACTGCTACCAAGTAATGGGTCCAGGATTCTGATTCATTCTTTATCTCATTCGTCCATTCATTCAAAACATATTTATTAAGTGTAGGTTTAGGCTCAGCCAATATAGTGGTAAATAGAAACAGACCTCATTGTTTCTAGACCTCAGTTGATTATAGACCTAGACTTTATCAAGTTTATAACCTTAGGAGAGGGCATAAGGGGTACAGATATTAATAACTAATTAAATTCAAGTGTCAAATTTCAAATGATGGAACCTACTCCAGGAGGCCAGGGAAGTCTTCCTTGGAGAAGTCATGCTGGAATCAAGATGTGAAGGAGGGAGAATGAAGTGGCACAATGTGAGAGGTCAGGGTGTGTGGTCAGAGAGAGCTGCGTGTGGAAAGGCCTCTGGGAAAGACAGAATCCATGGAGTTACTCACTATACTAGGTTTCCTTTCTTTATTTCAAGCCAATCAGAGCATGAAGTACCTCTGGTTTGAGGTGCCAATAATCCCACAAAAATATACATAGGACGATTTGGAAGTAGGAAAGTTAACCTAACCTGATAGATTTGAAGTGACTACTTTAAAATGTTTGGATTTATATCACATTCAGTGTAACACATTTATGAGCTTTGCAACAATACAGCACAATAGTGATTGTTGCTAAAGAGGACATTACAATGTCCATTCCTGGAAACCTCGTTAATCCTGTTGGCAGACAACCAGTTTCTAATGAGTTTTGTTCCTTAGCACCAGAACCAAGCTGGACAGAGGGTAAAAGATGATGTGTGAACAAAACAAATTTCCAAGAACGCATCTGTTCTATAAAGCAAGGTGACCCTACAGAGTCCAACAGATGACCCTACAGCCTCATCCATGCCTCTCCTACCAATGGCTGTGAATTATTTTTGAACGGTCTTCTTCATTCTCAAGAATATACTAGAAGTTACAAGTAAATCTCGTATTTTGCTCACAGGGCCATATTTAGAATTCAGAGACTCCAACAGTAGCTTCGAATGGCTATACTTTAATAAGGCTTATCACCTTTCGTAGCTTTTATAGAATGTAACAAGAGACCAGCTGGCATGGCTAAGTGGTTGAGCATCGACCTATGAACCAGGAGGTCACGGTTTGATTCTTGGTCAGAGCACGTGGCCAGGTTGGGGGCTTAATCCCCAGTGTTCTCATCGTTGATGTTTCTATCTTTCTCTCACTCTCTCTTACTCTCTGAAATCAATAAAAATATATATTTTTTAAAAGAACTAAATAAGGAAACACATTAATGCTCTTTTAAATTTTCACAATCATATAACTAAGCACAATCCCTTGACCAAATGTATTATCTCCTCATAAGTAGGAGTAAGAGAACTTCTGGCACTTACTTTAAATTAGTAGAATTCTATAGCTGCTAAGCTTTTGCCAGGCTTACCTCAGGGATGCAGTCATCATGGGTCACCACCCGCACTATGTCGTCCAGGGGCAGAAGGGAATTGCACTTGATTTCTGTGTAGACGTTTTTCCCCTCTGTACAAGCTGCCAGCAACTCCACCAGGGTGATGTGGTAGGCCAAGGGGCCACTCTCATCCCCTCGGTCTCTCTCTGAACACATCATATGGAGAAGGATGGGAAATGATGCTCTATCATTGTAAAATATCAGCACATCTTCACCCCCATTTATCAACTGAAATGATAACAAGAGAGTCTACATAGCAGACCAAATACTCATCCTTGCAATCATTGCCAAAGGCCTGTTCTATTTGGAAACGTGTATCTCTTTGCAAAAACCGAGATAACATTGCAAAAGCAGAACTATACCAAGGCGGGACGGTGAAAGGATACTAGTCAGGTGCTCAGAGATCAGTCATGAACTCTACCAAAACCAGCAGGGGGGATATGGGAGTGGTAAGTGGGGCAAGAATTTCCTCGATAATAATAATACAAAATCATATTAGTTCCCACACACTTATAGGCAATGAAGAACTAATATAAATGTAAATGTAGATAAGAAAATGGTAAATATCACAAGTCAAAATGTTCCTTAAAATGTTTAACAACAAAAATTTACATTAAAAATTCAAAGCCTTGCCCTGTGGCTCAGGTGGTTGGACATTGTGTAGCAAACCCAAAGGTTGCCAGTTCAATTCCCATGCAGGGCACATCTTACTGTTTCAACATAGAAATCACCCTCATTCCAAAAGTGAAGGTACATAGTTGTGCAAATCCCCCCAAACAATATAATCTACTATATCATTTTTTGGTACCCATGGTTGAAAGATGTCTTCGTTCATACAGGCCTTTCAAAAGCCATTAGGTCACAGGGCAATGATTGACCCAAATGGGCTCAAAGAACTCTCAGTTCTCCACCATACCCCTTGGTTCCTAGTGAGTCACTTACTCATTGCATAATTCTCACTCAATTTCAAACATCACAATGAAAACGGCCAAATAAATTCAGTACTTCATTCATTTGTTCTCCTTAAACATTTAACTTACTCTAAATAGCTACATTTTCACTTGTGATAAACCACTGATGAAGAATTTCTATGAACTCAATTCCTTTCAAAACCCTCTGCAAATAGTAGTAGAGAACACCCATTTGAGATTTCAGGAAGTGTAATAAAGGCACTGGAAAAAGCAGAGTTTAATCCATTTTTGTAATGCACTGAAAACTTACAAATATAAAATGTTGTCACTTTCATTCTAAATAATCTACAACATTTTGTAGGATTTCACCTTTATTTAAAATCCACAACTTCATTAAGAAAAAGAAAAGCTCTTAGAAAATTATAAAATCAACTTATGTTACTTCACAGGAGGTAAGCAACCATATATTTGTGCTTAAGTAGTCATGATTAAATTATTTTCCAAAGTCGTTTTTTTTTTTATCCCCCTCGCTCTAAATTAACAAAAAAACACTTATTTGAGCATACTGTTTGTGTAAAGTGGGTAACGTGCAAACCGAGAACATACCTCTGTCATGACCATATCCTGGCATTTCTTCACATATTTACCATCTGCTTTTACAATCGTTTGCAAAAACCTCAGGTACTCCACGTGGCGGCCATGTGTCTCTATGCAGTGCACAAAATGCTGCACTGCTCTCTCGCTGATTTCATTGCACAGGTGGTAATTGTTCATGAAGATGTGCCGCATGGTCTCTGCTTCAAGGAGCTAAAGAGAGAGGACCGTGCCCTTGTGATTCTGACATGATCAACTTTCTATTCCTTCTACAGTACTTAGATGAATGCCCCTGCCTGAGATCAATTTTATATTTTATGCAAAACCACAGTGAGTTTTCTGTGCAAGTCTTTGACTAAATGCAGTGAGATCATTCACCATGAAAAGAAATCTGAGCTCACAAACAAATTTAGTTGGAAAAAATGAGCTGATTATCACCCAGGTTAACATGTGGGCAACAGTATTCTTGAGAATAATTTAATGATCGGGTTATTCAAAGTCAGCTCTTCCATAGTATCAGCTGATCCACATTCTACAGGGCAGAGTAAACTCTACATTTGAGTTGTTTGTATGTATTTTACTCATGGCATTATAGTTAGTTCTTTCTTTTTCCTAAGATTAAACTATCTATACTAATAAAAGGGTAATATGCGAATTAGACCAGATTGACCAGACATCTTTTAGACATCTGACATCCTTCCAGACAAAGCCACTGTGGTGGGGGCCGAAGCAGAGGCAGTTAGGGGCAATCAGGCTGGCAGAGGAGGGCAGTTAGGGGCAATCGGGCCAGCTGGGGAAGGCAGTTGGGAGCAATCAGGCTGGCAAGGGAGGGCAGTTGGGGGCAATTGGGCCAGCAGGGAAGGGCAGTTGGGAGCCATCAGGCCTGCAGGAAGAGTCAGTTAGGGGCAATCAGGCAGGCAGTTAGGAGCCGGGGGTCCCATATTGTGAGAGGGATGTTCCAGATTGGAAAGGGTGCAGGCCAGGCTAAGGAACACCCCCTCCCCCCATGCAGGAATTTTATGCACCGGACCTCTAGTATACATATAAATAAAATCTTCAACTGCAGGTAAAATTTGTATAGTTTTTCAAGTGTCTTTAACTGTTTCCTTAACGGAAATAAAATATCTCCACATTTAGGGCAAGAACCCCTTCCCTAATAGGGAAAAAAATGAGGTGATGAATAAAATTCTATTCATCAACGCTGCTAAAATAAATTTGATGGACACTTTACTATAAATATTAGAAGTCACTAAAATACTTACACCAGGTGTTAGGAACAAATTCAGATGTTTATGAAGAAGAACTTGATTCTGTGGATTTCCCCGACAGAAATTCTGCAGGAATGTATGGGCTAGGTTCATTATTTCGTTCATCTTTTCATCACTCTGTAAGGTAAAGATTGGCCCATGAAACAGAAAAACAAACAGGTCAGAACAAAAATACTCTCAAAAAATATGTTCTTTCACACATGCACTTATTTTCTCTCTGCCGCTGTTTCATGCTCCAATTTCTCTGTGCCTCTTTTGTTTCTACACCTTTCCTGGTTATCTATCTCCACAGAACACCTCTCCCCCATTTTCTAGATATTTCCAGCTTCTTTATTCACCCTCCTATTATCAGTTGTCCTCTCTTTCAACCCTCTCTTTGTTTCACAGTCTACCTCCCTTTCTCCCCAACCTTCCTACCTGCCACTGCTTTCCCATCAGAGCTGCCTCTTTCTCCTGCTTCTGCCTTACATCTATGCTCCCTACCTCTCTCTCTGGGTTCCACATTTTCTCTGGTCCCCCCTTCTCTGCTGCACCCTCCAATTCCTTGCATTGCTCTCCTTTCTTGGATTTCTCCTCTTTCCCACTATTTCTATGTATTCAGATCTTCCTGGGGGTTTTATTTTTTTTTCTCCTCTTTCCCCACCTTCTATATCCCCTTTTCTTAACCTTCTCCCTTCCCACTGCTTGTCCCACACTTCTTCCTCCTACTCCTGCCTCTTCTACTCCTCTGCTCCTGTTCCCTTATCTTTCTGTCTTACCCCAGCCTGTTTATCCTCCCTACTTACTTTTCTCTATTCCCCACCTCTAAATTTCTCTCTCTGTGTATTTGTGTCCTTATCTTCATTCTCTCCTCTTCCCTCTCTCTGTCTCTCCTCTTGCTATTCACTTTGTCTCTTATTTCCACCTCTTCCTTTTTCTCTTTGCTTTCTCCCCTACTTTTCCCCACTCTCTCATTCCTGAGTTGAAGCAAGAAGAATGCAAAGTGAACCTAGAACATTTTAATGTTCAGAATAGCAAAGTATGATGGGACATGTGAGAGGACAGAGACACTGGCTTAACAGGGCTCACTTCCTTGGTTAACTCTGTAACAATCTGAGAATCTAAATAAATAATACTATTATAGAAAACTAGGATAACCTATTGAGAAAAACAAGCATCTACAAGTCCATACTGGTAGAAATAAATGAATAAATTGAAAGTGTAATTTAAAATGGAAATTTAGCCCAGCCGGTGTGGCTCAGTGGTAGAGTGTCCATCTATGAACCAGGAGGTCATGATTCAATTACAAGAAAGGACACATGCCTGGATTGCAAGCTCGATCCCCAGTGTGGGGTGTGCAGCAGGCAGTCAACCAGTGATTTTCTCTCATCACTGATGCTTTTCCCTCTCACTCCCTCTCCCTTCCTCTCTGAAATCAGTAATAAAAATTTTTTAAAGGGGGGGAATATTTACATAGTTTCAAAGAAACTCTCCACAAAATACTTATTATTGATAAAGGAAAAATGAGTACTTCACAGCGGAGAATACTGGCATACAGCTTCATCAAGTGAATGTCATTTGTCAACAAGGGACAAATCACAATTCTGTGCAGCCTAGCAGGAAGTGGTGGGAAGAACTTTGCGTCACTTCTGTTAAGATCCTGACAAAGATGCACAACTGAATCTAATCATGAGGAAACATCAGGTGATTCAAAAGAAGGGACAGTCTTCCCAATAGTTGGGTCTGCCTTCAAAGGTGTCAATGTTGTGGTAGTTCCAGCATCAGGAGATTTAAATAGACATGACAACCCAACAGCACCTGTTTTGCAAGAGGATCTTTCTATCAAGGGGCCATGCTTAGGATGATGGAAGTAATGTGAATGGCTTATGAGGATTGAGTGGCAATTCAGTGTCATAGTCTTCCTTGATTTGGAAGGCAGTCATGTGATTACATAGAAAAGTGTCCTTTTTTGTAGAAAGTGCACACTAAACGGCTTGAGGATGATAGGGAATCAGATGGGAGTCATACTTTCAAATAGCTCAAGGAAAAAAAATGTTCATTGTAACCTTGCTATACATTTAAAAATATTCACCAAAATAAAAAATTAAGGAAAACAAGTAGCTAAGAACTAACCTTTTCATAGGGTATCTGCAGAAGGTCCAGCACCACCGAATGAGCTCCCATGTTTTTCAGTAGCCGTTGATGCTGATTCCGACACTTTTTATTCTGTATGCAGAGTTTACTTAGCCTAATCAAAATCTTTTAAAAGAAGAGCAGTAATTATAACAAACCTAATATTTAATATAAAAGCTGCACAAAAATTCTTTTCCATGCAAGCATTAACCCACAGAAAAAGAGTTTACTTCTAACCTCTTTCACAATCCGGTAGTTATTGCTCTTATTGCTGTCAATCTGAGGTGTCCTTGTTCCATCCTGAACTGGACTTAAAATATTTGATTCCTAAGATAAACACAAATATATATGTTTATGCCATATGTAGCATAGTGTTAAATTTATTTATTTTGTAAAAAATTAATAAATACATTTTGTAATGAATTATTCAACTTAGACATTTCCTTTTTATTTTCTTTTATCCAATGTAAAGTTCCTTGGCTTGCATGAGTCATTCAAATTACCATTTCCCAATAACAACCAAATTATAAGAAAAGTAAACAAAAAGTTACTACATACAACATCATCAGAGTATTTCTTATGCTAAATTTATCAGACAAATCATGACTTTATATTGCCTATAAGAGAAGGTATAGTAAAAATTCAGGGCATAAAAGTATAATTATGTCATCAGGGATGAACTTAAGGGGGGGGAAAAAAGAGTAAAGAAGAATGTAATAATAGCTGAAAAACATGGGAAGAAAGAACGCCTTAACCCAAAAATTCCTTGGCAGGTTACCATGACATCCTTAAAGGCCAACCAAGCAAGTACAAAACCATGAAAATGAAGAAAGTAAAATAACATTTATATTAAAAATAACCCATTTAAAATCAATAAGTGAATAAAGTTTATTAAACGGACCTGAAATAGAAAAAAAAAAAGTATTTCATTATAGCAACCATTATCTGTGGCATATAATAAAAAACAAATATATAGTGCACAGATTTTAAGTATCAAGTATTGGAGTCACCATATGAAAATAAAACATCAGTTACAAATAACTTAATACATGAACACTTATTACTACCCAATTCCTGCCTGGTATTAGGTAAGATGAATGGGTCTAAAAGAAATATAAGATAAGGTCCTTCCCACAAGAAAATCAGAGTCTACCTAAGAAAACAGAGAAATATAAAAATAAGGATTTGAACTGAGCAGAATTCACTACTCAGAGAGAGAAGGGAAATAGCTCTTGCATTAGACAGCTTTATGAAGAAGGTCAAGTTGAAGCCAAGGTCTTGAAAGATGAAAACTAGTTAAGTATGCGAGATTTGTGGGAGACTGGGAGATACTTGTCAGGTGAAGAAGTCTCCTTAGCCAAAGGCATTGTGGAAAAACAGACATCACAGTGTGCAGAAAGTGGCAAGAACTGACCGTGTATATTGCAAGAAAGTGTGTAATTAGGTAACATAGAACATGATTACCTCCCTGATTTACAATGTGTACAAAATTGCACGTGGAAAAAATGTCTAGTTCAACTTAGGTTAAAAAAATAAAATAAAAAAATAAAAAAACACCTACATTGGTGTTGAACTCTTTCAATTAAAGATGGCCCTAATCTAAACTCAGGAAAAAGTAACAAAAATATAGAAAGCCAATAGATATTATTATTTCATTTGTTCCAAGCTGTTGTTCCTAATCTGTTCCATAACAAATCACAAAGTTAATGCAAACCAAGAAAGACAGAAAAAAACTTTCCTTGAAAGTCAAAGAATGTCAATGAAATATTGCATGCAGATTACCTTGATCAGCATTGAGCCTTTGCCACATCTTGGTAAGTTTTATATTCCTTTTTTGCTTCTCTCTAGTCAACTATTGTCAAAGATGGAGGTTCCCAACCTGAACTCTACCTTAGCAAGTAACCTCTTAGGCCAATTTTACTGAGCCTCTGAAAATCCCCTTCACCCATTTCCCTTTTCCATCTGAATACTTCCAGTATTACCCACAAGCCACTCTACCTTCCTTGCTGTACCTGAGAGAGAAAAAACTCTTGATGCACGGGTTTTTTAAATGCCATCTTCCCTGCCTCTTCTCCCAGCTTCCTTCTTTCTCTTGTGCACAAGCAGTTTTTACCCTCTACTGATTCTTTTTCGTCTCTTTAAAAACATGGTCAGGTTGAGGCTAACCAAGCACTTGCAGTGATCCTGCCCATTCTGGGAAGTAGTCTTGCATCTCCAATTACTGTTCCCACTGAATCTCTTGAAAAAATAATCTATAACAAATTGTGCTAACAGTGTTGTATGTGCCAATGACTTTCATTATCAACTTTCTTTTAGCACTTGATTTGGTGGTTCACTACCATTTTCTTTAAACCCCGCTCTTTTTGTTTTATTGTGACACTAGAGGCCTGGTGCACAGATTCATGCACTGGTGGGGGGGGCGTGGCCTGCAGGGATCAGCCAACTATGAGAGCACAGCTCATCCCAGTCAGCCAAGTAGCGCTCCCACTGTGGGAGTGCATTGACCATCAGATGGCAGCTCCTGTGTTGAGCGTCTGCCCCCTGGTGGTCCAGTTGTTCTAGTGGTTCTGCCATTCAGTCACTGGGCTTTTATATATATATAGATGGTACTCTTCCAGATTACCTGCTACCTTTCTGACTACCTTGTCCCTTTCATTCAATAGAATTAGTACTGTAAAAAGTAAAAAACATGAACACTGAAAGCCTTCAAAGCATTACTATAGAATTCCAGAGCTGTGTCATTTATCTATACAAATAAATTCTAAGAGGAAAATAAAAGCAGTTCAACTCCACTCCAGGTAAATAAGAAAGAAAAACAAGCAAGATATTGTCTGCAAGACAATAAACACTAAGTGAATCCTAAAACATTATAGAAAAAGATGAAAAACCATATATGTCAGTGAAGCCAGTGCAGAGGAGGGAAGGAGCCCACGTGCTAATACAAATGGGAAATATTTAGATAGAAAGAGACTGGAGATAAGAGAATGAGGAAAATGGGGTTTCTATTTGATAGCAACAATATCTTAGAGTGAGAAGTGGAAATTGCAAAATCTAAAAATGTAATTAAATTTCCATTTCTGATCATAAATGTGAAAGCTGAATTTTATTTTTTAAATATGCTTTTATTGACTTCAGAGAAAGAAGGGGAGAGAAAGGGCTAGAAACATCAATGAAGAGAGATAATCATTGATCGGCTTTCTCCTGCATGCCTCCTACTGGCAAGCAAGCCCGAAACCTGGGCTTGTGCTTTAATTGTGAATCTAACCAAACTGTAAACTCCCTGGTTCATGAGTCATTGCTCAACCACTGAGATACACTGGCTAGATGTAAGCTGAATTTTTAAAAGACCTTATTGCCCTGCTCAGGTGGCTTAGTTGATTGGAGCATAGTCCTGTACACCAAGAGGTTGTGGGTTCAATTCTTGGTCAGGACACATATCTAGGTTACTGGTTCAATCCCCAGGCAGGGTGTGTACAGGAGGCAACTAATAGATGTTTCTCTCTCACATTAATATACATATTATATATATATATATATATATAACCTCTCTCTCTCTCTCTTTCTCTCTCTCTCTCTCTCTCTCTCTCTCTCTCTTTTCCTTTCTAAAGGCAATTTTTTTTAATCACATTCATTTTTTTCTAGAAGAGAAGAAATATTAAAGAAAACCAAATTTGTTCCACAAAGCAGGATTAAGATATTACCAAGTCTAAGGACTAACAAAGCTCCTAGGGTAGAAAATAGAGCTTTTGGATCTATATCAAGTTAAAAAAAACAACAACAAAAAATAGTTAAAATAAAGGCAAACTTTTGGCAGATATATTCAAGACTATTTTTTAAACAATGACCTGAAGAAAAAGCAACTGTCTTATTTTAAGAAAAGTAATCTCACACAAGGCATACTACATTACTAAAAAGCTCTTTAGTTCAGCCTAGGGGAGGATATAGACAATGCTAACCTCTGTTAAGTATAAGAATCATTAAGAATAACTATTTTGATTAAAAATTGCCAGCAGTCTACAAAAGGAGTCAACACTGAAGAATTCAATAAACAGCCCATTTTCATTTAAGAAAATAATTTAATATAATTAAACTGAACACAAATATGGACCCATAGAACATCTGGATGATTCCAAAGCAGTAATTAGGGAAATTTAAGAATTATGTAAATTACATAAGCATGGGTTTGTTTTGTTTTCTTATTTTGATGCCCAAATGCTCTAAGTTGAAGGTGTTCCAAAAGTTTTCCTCCAGCAAAGAGGAGAAATTGGTTGTATTTTTATATCTTATACAACTTTCATCCTAGGTCAGTGGCCAATTCTACAAAGTCCTGGCTTTATTCTAGTGACAAAATACAAGTAAGGTGGAAAATGTAGAGGTGTAATTTGATTCAAAGTCCTGAAGCAGAGTAGGCTCCAAAAAAATGTGCAATACTAAGAACAGTGGATGCTTATAGATATCCAAATTTTCATTTTGACAACAGTGATGAAGAAAAATGACTGCACTCCAAAAGTCCTGGTACTTTATTCTAATTGCCTTCTATTATCTGGAAGAATTTAACATTATTCCCTGTAATGCAATATGGAAAACTACTTAGTTAAGTGATTTTAGAGAGGCAGTGAGATTTTTAACTGCATTGCATATACTGTAACATAAAGCAGTAGATTCATAAACAATACATCAACAATAGACTAGAAGAATCTAGAATTTTCTAGAAGAGTCTGCAAACTGGAAAGGCAGCAGGATTCTAGGTAAAGACTCAAAGAGTGAATATCTAATCAAATATTGGATCTTATAGCCTCCATTCACAATTTATTTTGCATCAGACAAGGACACTCATATATCAAGAGTAAAATGATACAAGAAAATAATACTATATGAACTATAGAGTGAACTAAACATTGGCACCAATAATGGAGATCCATCTCCCTCATTTAAACAAGGGAAATCATGCTTTTAAGAAATAACTTTCCAAATCCAACAATGTAGGACTGCCCACACTTGCAGCTGAATGATTAAAATAACTTAGTGCAGCTGGGACTGGTTTGGCTCAGTGGATAGAGCATTGGCCTGCGGACTGAAGGGTCCCGGGTTCAATTCCGGTCAAGGGCATGTACCTCGGTTGCGGGCACATCCCCAGTGGGGGTGTGCAGGAGGCAGCTGATCGATGACTCTCTCTCATCGACGTTTCTAACTCTCTGTCCCTCTCAATTCCTCTCTGTGTAAAATCAATAAAATATATTAAAAAAATAATTTTAAAAAATAACTTAGTGCATGTCTTCTTCTTGTCCCCACCCCCAATGAAGTTAAAGGATGTCCCTCCTTGGCAG